TTTTTTTTTATTTTTTTATTAAAGGGGGAAAATTTCCGAGTTGTTATTATCGGGGGGAAAATTTCAGACTTGATCCAATAATTTGAAATCCATACAAAAAGTATAAAAAATTTTAAATTAAACAAAATTTTTAAATATGATAGACATAAAAAAATCTTAATTATTTAAAGTTACTAATGTTTCATTGTGAGATAAATAACATATCATAGGTTTTTATTTTCTTAAATTAATTTTTATTTTTTATTTAAAATCGGTTGTTTTGAATAGTTTTCTATATTGACAAGACAAATACCATATTGATATTTAATCCTTTAAATAGATTGTATTGATATATTTTATTAAACAGAATGCTTTAATTAAAAATATTGAAAGCAGATATTTATAATTAATAGATTTTGTTCAATTCACAATGAAAGTGTATTTTTCAAAACATAAAAGTTTCACTATTAAATTTATATTTTTATTATAATAAATGAGGGTTTATTATTCATCAAAAAAACATCATAATAACTTAAACGTTTAAATTTACAGAAAATTCTAATATTTAATTAATAAAGAAATTTATTAAAATTTAACTAAATATCTTTTTAATGATGGGTTCATTAAAATAAGTAAAATTATTTGATATTCATGAAAAAATTTTTCAGAAATGTCTTTTTACATTTCCAGAAAAAAAAACGGGTTATTTTCTATGTCTAAAAAATTACTCAAAACTCTATCATTGTTTCTAAGATAAAAGAGAGGAATATAACGAGTTAATTGAGAAGAATATATTTTTTTACGTAATAACTCAAATATATATCATATTTTTCACTTTCTATAAAAAGAAAATTTGATAACTTTATATTTAGTTGTAGAATTTCTTTTCTTAAATCATCATTTTTATTATCAAGATATTTAAAAATACAAAAGTTAATTGTAAAACGAGTCAAACTGTTGTATTTTAAAACGTTATACGTTTTGATTAAGATAATCATTTCTACAACGTATTCCGAAAACTTCTCTAAAAATTTTTTAAATTTTTTATTATTTCTAATTCTCCTTCTAATTTTTTCTTTAATTTCAGATTTATAAATAAGTGATGTATATAAAGATTTTTTTATCTCAAAAGAGTATATTTCATCAAATTCATATGGGCGTAGCACACCTTTTTTTTATAAAATTCTGAGTTTAAAATCTTCTCTTTAGCTTCAATTATTGTAATAACAAGACATTTATACAATTCATACTGACAAATTACTTATTCAAGAAAATAAAAAACTGATAGAAAATCCATATAAATTTCTAATAAAGATTCATTATTATATATAATATCTGTTTGATCTTTCTTAAATAAATCTAATAATTCATAAATACAATCGGTAGAATCAAAAGATGAACAGTCTGAACTATCCTATTTTACTTGATCACTATTTTTAACTTTCTTCATTATTAATTTACCAAATCTCTCTAAAATGGTTCTAAGTGTGTTATTAATATACTTTTTTAAATCATCAATACAATTGTAAATATCTAAATATGTTCCACTACTAATATGTTATTCTTCAAAATTAATATTCAATTGTCTTTTTGTTGAATTAATTTCATTTATAGATACATCATTGTATTTAGATTCTTAAAACCAAAGGTACATTCTTTTTCAAGAAATTCTTTATTTTACATATTTTTCAATCATTTGTTTAATTTCATCATCTTCTTTTA